CAGTGATTATTGCTAGTGGCTATACCAGCTGCTAGTGATAATCGCATGTATTATCCGGCAGGCTGATTGTATTATTCCCATACATGGTTCAAACCTCAGCCATTCCTGCTGAACCAGCAGCCAAGGTTGGAACCATCTATGGCCGGTCTTAGGCTGGCCATACATTAAAGGTGGCCATAGATGGATGAATGTCAGCTGGTTCAGCAGGGCCCAGCCAAGATTCGATCCATCTATGGTTGTACCTAACTCGATCCATTGATCGACTTGGGTACAATCAGCCTGTCAGATTTTTTACATATGATTACTGCCAGCGGCTATAGCCATTAGCAGTAATCATTGTGTTCTGCCAGACGAGAAGGCTTCTTGCCAGCAGAAAATGCTAGCACTGCGGGAGGGATTCCCCCATCAACACTGACTGTGTTCATCTATGGCTTGCCTAAGCAATTTCCCTTCCTTCAACCTGTGGTTGAAAGAAAATTGTTCAACACATTCAGTTTTGATGGGGGAATCCCTCCTACTGCACTATGGTATTCCGACAGCGAGAGGTTCCACTACCGTCACAATACAATGATTACTGCTGGCGGCTATAGTAACTGTATGGGAAAATGCTGATTTCAGTATAACCAGCCTGCCATAGATGGATCAAAATTTGCCCAGTTGAGCAGGAACCAGCTAAATTTCAATCCATCTATGGCTGGCTTTAGAAGCACTCCTTTCCTTTTACTCTTATTATTTCATTCTAGTTGACCATAATTCAAGAGGGGCTCTTGGGGATCTGATGGAAGGAAGGGGAGGCTGATGTAAAGGGGGACGCTGGGGACCTGATGTAACTAGGGAAACTCTGGGGACTCTCCTAAGGGAGTGACTCTAGAGCAGCAATGGGCAAACTACGGCCCGCGGGCCGTATACGGCCCGGCGGACCTTTTAATCCGGCCCGCGGAGCTAGGCTCCCGCTAGGCTCCTCTCACAGTCCGCCCTGAAGACCGGTGCAGCATGAAAATCTGTCTCCTGTGAGGATCTATCCCCCTCGACGTATCTGCGCATGTGCCGGAGATCGCCGATCGGCTGCTAATGCCTGAAACTGGCACATGCGCAGATACGTCGAGGGGGACAGATCCTCATAGGAGACAGATTTTCATGCTACACCGGAACGAAGCGAGAACACGGCGAGAGGAACGCGCGGAGCAGAGGTAAGTGAATTGACACAGGGAGGGACTTGGGGACTTAATATGGGGGATGAATTAATATGGGGGATGAATTACTATATGGGGGATGAATTACTATATGGGGGATGAATTACTATGGGGGATGAATTACTATATGGGGGATGAATTACTATGGGGGATGAATTACTATGGGGGATGAATTACTATAGGGGATGAATTACTATATGGGGGATGAATTACTATATGGGGGATGAATTACTATGGGGGATGAATTACTATATGGGGGATGAATTACTATGGGGGATGAATTACTATGGGGGATGAATTACTATATGGGGGATGAATTACTATATGGGGGATGAATTACTATGGGGGATGAATTACTATATGGGGAATGAATTACTATGGGGGACAAATTATTATATGGGGGACGAATTACTATGGGGGAATTACTATGGGGGATTACTATGGGGGATGAATTACTATGGGGGATGAATTACTATGGGGGATGAATTACTATATGGGGGATTAATTACTATGCTTACTATTGGGGAATATTACTATACTTACTGATGACACATACACATCATTCATCTACTCTTGGTCCGGCCCCCGGGTCCAATATATGAACCCATTATGGCCCTCAAGTCAAAACGTTTGCCCACCCCTGCTCTAGAGACTCTTGGGACCTTGATGTAAGAGAAGGTCAGACAAGTGAGGATCGTTTAAGCATTTATTTTCATAAGGAGGCACAGTAATTGAACACATGGGTGAGCAGGATAATGAGGAGTTTAGGATTATCCAGACCAAGACTTTGGGAAGGACAGATTATTGTAGATCATTTAGTGAACTGTGTTTGCACTCTGTGTATGGCAATGATCAGGTACACCCACCTATTTAGCTCAAACATATTTTTAATTAATAACATCTCCTAGCACCAACTGATTGATTTTGCTGATCAATCCCTAGCTGCCATTTTTTTGTCTTTTAATTTTTGTTCTATTTTTAAAGATGTCCACATAGCAGTTGGCAGTTAGGTGTATCTGAGGTTTGCAGCAAGGAAGTCATTTCACAGCAAAGTACATTGCTGGGTGTATTAGTGAATATTAGCAGGTTCCTTAGGCCCCTTTCTTATGGGCGGATTCTGCCAGTGGATCCTCCTGCTCAGTGGGGGATCTGTCCACTGATCCTTGCTGAGCAAATGGATGACAGGTCCATGTCCGCTCTGGTTATGCAGAGCGGACACAGACACAGCCTGGGGTGGGGGGAGGACAATGCTATAAAGGAGGACTCAGGACATTGCTATAAAGGGGGAGGACACTGCTATGAAGGGGGGCTCAGAACATTGCTATAAAGGGTGAGTGGGGAAATTGCTATAAAGGGGGGGGGACACAGCTATAAAGAGGGAAGAATGAGGACACTGCTATAAAGGGGGGCTCAGTACATTCCTATAAAGGGGGAGGACACTGCTGTAAACAGAGGCTCAAGGCATTGCTACAAAGGGGAGGCACTGCTACAAAGGGGGGCTCAATACATTGCTATAAACGGGGGGTTAGGACACTGCTATAAATTGGGGTGCAGAACATTGCTATAAAGTGGGGGCGGCACTGCTATAAAGGGGGGAGGTCATTCTTATAAAGGGGGGCTCAGGACATTGCTATAAAAGAAGATGAGGACACTGCTATAAAGGGGGGCTCAGAACATTGCTATAAGGGGGGTGAGGACACTGCTATAAAGGGGGCTCAGGATATTGCTATAAAGGGAGAAGGACACTGCTGTAAAGAGGGGGAGGACACTGCTATAAAGGGGGGTGAGGACAATGCTATAAATGGAGGGCACTGCTATAAAGGGGGGCTCAGACATTGCTATAAACGGGGGTCAGGACACTGCTATAAAGGGGGGTGCAGAACATTGCTATAACGTGGGGAGGGGCAGTGCTATAAAGGGGAGAGGTCACTGTTATAAAGGGGGGCTCAGGACATTGCTATAAAGGAAGATGAGGACACTGCTATAAAGGGGGGCTCAGGACATTGCCATAAAGGGGGAAGACACTGATATAAAGGGGAAGACACTGCTATAAAAGGGGGGCTCAGCGCACTTCTAAAAAAGGGGGGGGGGCAATGCTATAAAGGGGAGTAAGTACACTACTAGAAAGGGAGGACACTACTATAAAGGGGGGTTCAAGACACTGCTATAAAGGGGTTGAGAACACTGCTATAAAGGGGGGTGAGAACACTGCTATAAATTGGAGGACACTGCTATAAAGGGGGGCTCAGAACATTGCTATAAAGTGGGGAGGGGCAGTGCTATAAAGGGGAGAGGTCACTGTTATAAAGGGGGCTCAGGACATTGCTATAAAGGAAGATGAGGACACTGCTATAAAGGGGGGCTCAGGACATTGCCATAAAGGGGGAAGACACTGATATAAAGGGGAAGACACTGCTATAAAAGGGGGGCTCAGCGCACTTCTAAAAAAGGGGGGGGCAATGCTATAAAGGGGAGTAAGTACACTACTAGAAAGGGGAGGACACTACTATAAAGGGGGGTTCAAGACACTGCTATAAAGGGGGGTGAGAACACTGCTATAAATTGGAGGACACTGCTATAAAGGGGGGCTCAGAACATTGCTATAAAGTGGGGGCGGCACTGCTATAAAGGGGAGAGGTCACTGTTATAAAGGGGGGCTCAGGACATTGCTATAAAGGAAGATGAGGACACTGCTATAAAGGGGGGCTCAGGACATTGCCATAAAGGGGGAAGATACTGATATAAAGGGGAAGACACTGCTATAAAAGGGGGGGGGGCTCAGCGCACTTCTAAAAAAGGGGGGGGCAATGCTATAAAGGGGAGTAAGTACACTACTAGAAAGGGGAGGACACTACTATAAAGGGGGGTTCAAGACACTGCTATAAAGGGGTTGAGAACACTGCTATAAAGGGGGGTGAGAACACTGCTATAAATTGGAGGACACTGCTATAAAGGGGGGCTCAGAACATTGCTATAAAGTGGGGAGAAGAACACTTCTATAAAGGGAGGGAGGTCACTGCTATAAAGGTAGACTCAGGACATTGCTATCAAGGGGATAGGACACTGCTGTAGAGAGGGGGAGGACACTGCCATAAAGGGGGGTGAGGAAAATGCTATAAATGGGAGGGCACTGCTATAAAGGGGGGCTCAGACATTTCTATAAAGGGGGAGGGCCCTGCTATAACAGGAGGTGAGTACACTGCTATAAAGGGGGGGGGGGGAGGTCACTGCTATAAAGGGGGGCTCAGGACATTTCTATAAAGGGCAGATGGCATTGCTATAAAGAGAGTGAGGACACTGCTATAAAAGGGGGCTCAGGACATTGCAGTTTACCAGGTGAGCCATACATTGTGTAATTACATTTGACTTGCACTTACAGTGGAATTTCAAATCTGAAACTTTTTAAGCCTTGAGAGTATTCAGTCTGAAATAAGTCAACTTTCATTTTTTATAAAAGAAAGAAGTATACCCATAAAGGACAAGTTGGCCTTAATAATGAGGCAAGCAAGAGTCAAGTTGTATGCACTTAAAGACTATAAGGATCATCTTGGAAAAATAGTTTTTCCTTTAAATTATTTTTTTTTTAATTAGTTGTTCAGGAATGCCTTTCATAAAGATTGTTACTAGAGGAAGAATCTACAGATATGATATATGAAATACCATCATAAAAGTATGATATGACTAGCCAAAAAAGAAAGTAAAAAATTGTGTTACTTTCAGGTAGCAGTTATAACAATAAATTGTATGCTCATTGAAAATATATTATAGTTGCTTTAAAATGTACAAAAAACAGTCTAAAGCTTTTACCTGTTCGGTTTCCATTTAGTGGACATTCACTCCATGGCAAAGGTTCTTGGAATGAGTTGAAAAAGTACCACATAACCCAGGCTATAATGGTATTGTAATATAAACCAACCAAAAAAGATACCAGCATTGATGCAATTCCTAAAAGATAAACATATATTTTTTTCATTATTATTTTTATTTATTTACAAACAAATTTAAAGACAAAAGCTCCTTAGGCCAGGGTCACAATGATATTCATCCCTGAAATTTTTGGAATCCCCGAGGCTTCACCATGGCTGGTTTCACTGGCCGTTTTCTCGCCCTGGCACCGGAATCTTCAGTGTGGGCACCCGGCTGTGACAGCTTGCAGTGCACATGCACGAGAAGCGATCAAAGGGTTAACTGTGTGCTGTGTATGTGTTACGCCCCCTACCCAGCCATACTAAAAAAATCATGTATATATACGTGATTTTGTGCAGTCCTGTAGCAGTAGTTCTGCTATAGGGCGGTCAGGAAGCCGTTAACATCAAATGGGATTTACAAACTTTTTGTTTTTACATTTATCAATAATTAGTTGCAGATCAATAAAGCAAAATTTGAAATAAACCTTTTTTTTGATTCTTTAGAATGTTCACCATGCTTTATAATGAATGTCATGTTTCACATGACTGCCGTATTGACTGTCATATGCCTTTAAGTGTTTCTATATTTTGTTTCTGCTCCTCCCTTTCCTTTGGTTTAGTTAATGCTGTATAGATAGCCCTCCCCTTTTCCCAGAAATGCATTCCAGCTCTAGCCTCATGTCATGGAGCAGGAAACATTATGATCTTTTGACCTATCGAATGTTCATTGTTGTAAGATTCTCCCAGTTTATGGAATAAACTTCACAAGATCTACAAAATGTCTTATCGATTGGGTCACTGACTGTGGTATCCAACTGAGGTTGAAGTTATCGCTATCTCATCACAACTGTAACTTACAGAGATCACACTATCAATGCTTAGATTGGAGAGACAGAACAATGAACGTATCATGAAAACATCATGTCCTGTATGTACTACATGTTTATTTGTAAAATACTTATTGCAACTTTAAAAAAATATAACAGATCAAGCTATCAATGTGTAAACACTTGCAAATTAAATAGCCAAAAACCTGTTATAGTTTTCTTTCAGGAAATTATAGTATCTAAAGTCATATGTGTAGCCTTCGCAACGATGCTTGATTTCTAGCTTTTGTTTGCAAATTTCATATTTTTTATATAAAGTATTTGTAAAACATGCTTAAAAAACAATCATACATAAACATATAAAAGTTTTTGTAAATAAAACCGGAAATGTTTAAAAAAGTAGGAATAATGGGATGTGATACTTTGTACAGCTGACTTGTGTCCAATAATTTCATAAAAATAAAAGAGCAATTGACAGTTTGTATTGAGATATAGTGTATATAGATGTTTTGCTAACTCTTGTTTGTTTAATTCTTCCTGTAAAGATAAAGGAAACAACCCAATAATACAATAATGTGTCTTTGCTAAACAGAAAATGCTGCAAATTCAAATTATATACAGTTACAAGAATACAATAAAATACATACAGAGTGCTACAAATACACACTACCTATTTTTTCTTAGCAAATGAACTAGTCTGTATGCAATAAGGATACATTAAAGGCCACTTAGCTTCTTTCATAGCTGGTCAGCGATTTTTGTAGCAAACAGGACTCCAAGCACTTCAAGCAATTGCAGGAGAATGGTTTTGTTGTCTTGGCGGTCTCTCTCTCTCTCTATTAGTGTGGCTTCTAGTGCTGTCCTTTTGCAGAGTTCTCCTTTTAACTTATGCTGCTGACCTTTTTTCTTGGAAAGTTTGGTAGCCATTCCCAAATGGGCATAGCCCTTTCAAATTGGGTTCCTACATCAGTTTCTCTGAGGAATGCATTTCTATCTACTGACTAGATCAGTGGTCTCCAAACTGCGGTCCTGACACCAGGTGCAGTCCCTGCTTACCTTTATCCAGACCTTGGGGCACTATTCCTCCACTGACACCAACAATAGGGCATAATTCTAACCACTGACACCAAAAAAGGGGGCACTATTCCTCCCTCAATATCAAAGATAGGCCATTGTTTACTCCCACTGATGCTAGGACAATTTCTACCCTAACTGGTCACAGTCCGGTTCCCCTAAAGGCTAAAGGAAAGTAAACTGGCCCTTTGTGTAGAAAGATTGGAGGCCCCTGCTCTAGATGGAAGTGTAATACTATTAATGCCAAAGGGTCAAATATGTCAACAGGTTAGGCTCTTAGTCATAAAAGATAAGGGGGTTGTATCAGTGCACAAAAACTGCTGAAAAGTCCTTGATAATATTGGTATGGAGTAATGGTGGTAGCTATGGTAGTTTTATGTCCAGCGTGGGGACCCGTGTATCGCTGAGGGCGAAGCTTCCAAATAGGCTGTAGCAGGTTCTGTAGATGAGAGAAGGAGAGAAGCGCCTCTAAGTGCAATAGGTTTCTTTATTAAAGTACATTACTATATCTATGTGAGTGTTCCTACACATATGTACTTTAATAAAGAAACCTATTGCACTTAGAGGCGCTTCTCTCCTTCTCTCACCTGCTAGGCTCTTAGTCAGTTCTTATTGACAGAGGTACAATTAAGTTTAGGTACAGTGGTTGACAAGATCTTCTCCAAAACAATGGTACCATCTAACAATGTGTACTATCTCTATCAATAGCTTATATGGCTCACAGATACGACAACAGTATCTATTTTGGCATTATATTAACCTCCCTAGCAGTATTCCCGAGTGTAGCTCGGGGTAAAATGTCAGTACCAAAAGTGATAACCCCGAGCTACACTCGGGCTTACCATGCAGGCTGCATAGGGAGTCCCTGCAGAGCTTACCTTGTCCTTCGCTCCCGCGATGTGTCCCCTGCAGCGTCCCCGGCCATCTCCTCCGGCTGATGCCAGCATCCGGCTTCTGTGTTCCGGTCCCTGTGACGTCGGGACGTACGGGCGCCGGCGGGAAATTTGAAAATTTAAAAAAAATTTATTTTTTTTCAAAACGAATTTTACATAGTAAAACATTGCTGTTTCAAACCATTTCACATACATTTTGTCCTGAGTGCTTTGTCCGGCGCCCTGTCTGCATTTTGACTGTTCTTTCTGCCTGGAAACTTAGAAAAGTCCATGGCGTCCAAAAAGTGTCCCTTTAGGTCAAAAGCGGGTTTAGATCAGCTAGAGAACAGCGATAGTAAATCAGAACCACTTGGAGAATTGAGTGATAATGATTTGTGGGGGAAATTCATCATCAGACACTGAAAACAATTTTTGCGACTTTGCTCAGTGATGTGCGAACTTGGCGCTATATTTCAAATTTCAGTGTTTTTGGTTTGATTATATTATTGAATTAAATTTATTATTATATCATTATTTTTTATGATTATTTATTAAATTATAATTTATGATTTTGTGTTTCAAATTTTATCATATCCGGGATGTTTAATAGACTCTTGTTCGGACAGATTTCAGTGCGTTATTCCTAAATATTACAGCCTACAATAAAAAAAAACTACATATTTCCATGCAAAATAATGGTACCGCTTTCAGCACCAAAAATCTGAAATAATCATACCGCCAGGGAGATTAAGGGACAAAAAAAACTTGAGTAAACACAGCTTGATTTAACAGTGGCTAAATTGTGGGGGGTCTTAAAATCATAAATGCTTCTAAATTAATTCTTAATAATAAAACTTACCAACTCCTTTTAGTGTTGGGTGAATGGAACTCCATACTCCCACGCTGCCTTTTCTTAGACGTTGTCCGATTGCAAATTCTACATGCAGAAGTGGAATGCCTTCAAACACCAGTAGTATAAGGAAGGGGATCATAAAAGCTCCTGTAAAAATACAGTATTTTTTTTAATGTTTATGAACTTTGTACTAAAAACATTACATGCATTCATTGAAGTGTTACTAAAGTCTAATTAGTTTTTTTAAAATAAGATAACAAACATGTTATACTCACTTGCTCTGTACAGTGGTATTGCACAGAGAGGCCCTGATCCTCATCTTCTTGGGTCCCCCTGCTGGTGATCTTGGCTCCTTCTCTTCTTTGTGTGTCCTCATAGCAAGCCATTTGCTATGGGGGCACACAGTGTCTGCTTGCTCCTGAGCTGTGTATCTATGTGCTCCTTAGACACACAGCAGAGCTTAGTCCAACCCCCCACTTCCTCCTCACTACATTAGTTTGACAACAACAGGAGCCAATGGCTCCTGCTGCTGTTCAAGTCCCTGTGTGAAGAGAAAGAGAGGGAAGAAGAGATGCAGCCATGCACAGTGCTGGATCTCGCCTCCTCTCTTTTCCCCTTCAAACAGGGAAGGATAGATGGGGGATAGAGAAGTGGTGTACTGGCAAAAGGCAATATTTTACACAGATGTGTTATTTACCAGTATTGTTGTTGACCACTGTATGTCCATTCTAAGGATCATATTTATAATGCAGTGATTATGACATTTACTAAATATTCATTGAAAGGGAATCAATCACTGTCATTTATTACACATTCACTTGAAGATACAACTGCAATGAAGGTTTAGTGAATTCCACATTCACTGCTATATAAATATATCCCAATGATGTTCATGTTTCCAAGAACTTGTGAAGTAAGTTTTTATAATATTGTCTCTCCTTTAAATCCTAATACAAGTTGTTAATAAAATGCAAAGCAATTAATTGGAGGTAAGTGTAAGGCTGTCAGTCTTTATAGTTAGTTGTTCTTAATTGTGCATTGTGTGATTATTATTATTATACAGGATTTATATAGAGCCAACAGTTTGCTCAGCACTTTACAGTATAATGGGAGACAATACAGCAACAATACAGTTCACTACAAGAGGGTTAGGAGGGCCTGATCCTGGGAGCTTACAATCTAAGAGGGAGGGGCTAGTGGTACAAAAGGTAGTAACTGTGGGGGATGGACTGGTAGGAGAGATAGAAGATTCCGTTATTAGCTGAAGGTGGGATAGACTTCCCTGAAGAGATAGGTTTTCAGAGATCGCCTGATTATGTTCAAAGTGTTCTGTGATTAAATTTAAAACAACATATTTTAGTTACATTTTGATGATTAAATCTGTAAATGATTTGAAATTTAAATGAGCTAAAACTAAAAGCTAAAACATTAAAACCTTCACAAAGGAACACTCCAGTCATGCATTACATTTTTGCATGTTAGCTGATTTCAGACAACACAGTCTGACCACTGAATGGTGTGATAATAAGGAGGACTGGGCACCCCAAATCTGCATGGACAAACACAGGGCAGCTTTGTTGTTTTAACCGCTTACCCTCCGCCATATAGCAGATATACTGCTACATGGCGGCACGGGTGTGCAAAATTATGTGTATATAAATGTGATTTTGCAGTTCAGGGTAGGGGGCGCGTGCATGCCCTACCTGCGTCGCCATTCGCGGCTGTGGATGTCAGTCACCGTGTCCCGGCCAGTGATTACCCGTCGGCGCCCTGGGATTACTGACAATCACTGATGGGGAGGAAGACTGTTTTGTTTACAAACAGTCTTCCTCCCTGTCAGTTCGGGGACACTGCTTGGCATGGCTGTGCACAGCACAGCCATCCCAATCAGTCTGCTTACAGTGAAGCACACACCCCCCGCCCCCTAGTAAAACACACCCTACACACAGTTAACCCCTTGATCACCCCTCACATAAACCCCTTCCTGCCCAGTGTCATTAGTACAGTGATCACTGCTTTGGTGTCACTGTGGATGTTAGTGACACCCAGTTAGTTCCTCCCCAGTGTCAGAATGTCCGCCGCAGTCCTACTATAAGTTACTTTTTCTCAAAATTGTCAATTTTTTTTGCTTTGTAGCACAAAAAATAAAAAACGCACAGGCGATCAAATACCACAAAAAGAAAGCTCTACTTGTGGGGAAAAAAAAAAGACGTAAATTTCATTTGGGTGCAGAGTTGCATGACCACACACAATTGTCAGTTAAAATAACGCAGCGCAGTATCGCAAAAAATGGCCTGGTCTGTAGGGGGTAAATGCTATAACTTTCACATAAACCAATTAATTTACACGTATTGGGATTTTTTTTTTTAGCAAAGACATGTAGCAGAATAATTTATTTATGACGAAAAAAGTCCAAAACATTGTTTTGTCTCAAAATTGTTGGTCTTTTTTTGCTTATAGTGCAGGTGATCAAAAAAACCCAAAAGAAAGCTCAATTCATGGGAAAAAAAGGACGTAAATGTCATCTGGGTGTGGTGTTGCATGATGGCGCAATTTCAATAACGCAAGTAAAGTAATGCAGCACCGTAACGCAAAAAATGGCCTGGTCAGGAAGGGGGGTAAACCCTCTAGAGGGCAAGTGGTTAAAATTTGCAGTGACCATTTTTAGAATAGGATGCCAAGCAGGCTGACATCAACATAGCAGCCAGTGATCCCTTCCCAAAACATGTAACCCTAGGATCAGGGGCGGACTGAAAACTCATGGGGCCCCTGTGTCCTTGCCCAAACTCAAAAAAGCCTATGAAAAAGGTACTAGGGGCATCTCATGGGGCCCCCTACTTGGGCAGTGCCCGAGTTTCCAAATGGTCAGTCCACCCCTGCCTAGGATGCATTTCCATACCTGTTTAAATTAAATAAACATTTCTCTAATGATCTGGAAACTTGATATTTAACCCAGGACTGACCTTGAACCACTCTGCTTACCATTTCATACCATAACTTACTCCTACAAACCAATGAGGTTTGTTAATGTTAATGAGGCCTATGGTATACCCCTCACAAACTGCTTATCAGGGTTATAAAACCCATTAACACAGGTCATAACTAGCTTCACAGGCATTAAGGCGATATATGAATTCTGAGTGTCTGAGTGTTTCTCCTCACAGAGACAGAGCTTATGGTATATCGTAAATGTATTAGCAGGCAGCAGAAAGCAAAATCAACATTTACTGGGTGGGTAAAATCTATACATAATTTATAACCTCTGTTGTGATAAAATGAGGTTACTATCAATTTTACCACTAAATGTAGAAGACTGTTACCATCATATGAAGGCCCCCATCTTACGAACTACGGTGGGAAAATGAGATACATTATTTCTTTCTAGGAAGGCACATATGAAGGGTATAAACAATAAACTGTAGAGAAATAGTAAGCGAGCGCTATCTGAGACTAAGGAAAATAGCCGCTAGAACACCAAAAAGGCAACCAAGGACAAACCTTCCAATAAATCTATATAAAGAAAAGGTGCAGCGCTAGACGTAAATATAACTAGACATATTATAACAACATGCTGAATGGACATAAAATAAACATAAAATAGCAATAAAATCGAGTGCAAAGTAGTGAATTACACTGGGTGAATTAAAATTAGTGAATGTCCCAAAATGATTCAAACGCCCACGTGGGGAACCAATAGATCCAATTGAAGTGCGTGAAAACAGAAATCCGGTGTATCACACAGTGGATAATGGGTATAAAGAGTGCTCACTCACCAGAAGTGCCTCTCTCAGGTAGTGGTCAACTACTGCCAGAAACAGGGTCAGAGTAATGCACCATCCAATCTCATCCAGGGTAGGTACTCCAAAAAGGCCTTAACACTGTGTCACCGTCTGTGTTCCCTCTAGACTGGTTTCGGCTTGGACATGCTGCTGTTCGGTGCGATGAGTCGGTACACGGAGGAGCCCGGTCTACCCTGGATGAGATTGGATGGTGCATTACTCTGACCCTGTTCTGGCAGTAGATGACCACTACCTGAGAGAGGATATCTTATATGCGCATTTTTGACGCACTCCTGGTGAGTGCGCACTCTTTATACCCATTATCCACTGTGTGATACTCCGGATTTCCGTTTTCACGCACTTCAATTGGATCTATTGGTTCCCCACGTGGGCGTTTGAATCATTTTGGGACATTCACTCATTTTAATTCACCCAGTGTAATTCACTACTTTGCACTCGATTTTATTGCTATTTTATGTCTATTTTATGTCCATTCAGCATGTTGTTATAATATGTCTAGGTATATTTACATCTAGCGCTGCACCTTTTCTTTTTATACATATGAAGGGTAGGTCATGAGTCGTCTTGTTCAAAAGGTAATTTTATGCTGCACAATAAATATGGGTTACTAGATCATGGCTACGAATGACTACCCTGGGTTTTGGTTTGAACAGGTTTCTGCAAACTTCAAAGTTTCTGCAAACTATATATAAGTTTAATATATATATATATATATATATATATATAAGGTGCAGCGCATAAAGCATAAAAAGTGAAAACGTGTCTAAAAAGGTATAATTATACATATAAATCAGTGCAACCAATTTGGTAATAAACAAAAAGTCCTTCCAGTATAAAACTGTATATCAGTGATGTGATACTAGTAATCACGGAAAATCGTGTTTGGTTCCACACAGTGCTCTGGAGTCCAGTGTGCAATCCACCACCACTATGCATTCACCAGAGAGCTACTTGTTAGGTAGCCAATAAGAGATCTGTGCTGTTCACTCTCTCTCCAACATCTATTGGTCCAGTTACATCCTATAAGGAAATGCTCACCACACAAAGCCCGGAAAATGGTGTATATAGTGTAGTATTTATTTAAAATTATGCATAAAAGCATTCTACGTGGAAGACCATAAAACATTACATATGCCACATATTATTATTATTATAATACAGTATTTATAAAGCACCAACAGTTCGTTCAGCGCTGTACATTACAAAGGGAGACAATACATGCGACAGTACAATAACAATACAATGCGATACACGAGGGGTTCGAGGGCCCTGCTCCTTGGAGCTTACATTCTAGGAGGGAGGGGATAGTGGTACAGGAGGAAAAGCTGTGGGGAATGGAGTGGTAGGAAGAGCGGAGGAGGTCGGCAATTAGCAGGGGGTGGGGTAGGCTTCCCTGAAGAGGTGGGTTTTCAGGGTGCGCCTAAAGGAGAGGAGAGTAGATGATAGCCTGATGGATTGGGGTAGGGAGTTCCAGAGGATGGGTGACGCCCTGGAGAAGTCCTGGAGGCGGGCACGGGAGGAGGAGACCAGGAAACTAGAGAGAAGGAGGTCTTGTGAGGAGCGGAGAGTGTGTTTTGGGTGGTATTTGGATATTAGGTCGGTGATGTAGTTTGGGGCAGTATCATGGACAGCTTTGTATGCCAAGATGGCTGCCGTTCAGAAGCACGGACCTGGCGGTGTGACGTCATCACGTAGGCTCCACCCACATTTATATTCCATATGTGCCTGCTGTACTATGTACTTGTATAATAAAGTACCCTGTTCTCTTTGTATTGCTTTCTTTGCGTGAAATACCTGGTGTTCCTACCAGTCCCTCTGCTTTCCTAATAAAAACTGAGTACACTAGACAGGAGAAAACACCGTGGTCAGTTCGCTAGCTATACTGGGAACTTAGTGTGCTCTCCTCCAATGATTAGACCTGTCCTGACATGCCCCCCCCCCATCCTGCACAGCCATTCACTGGGAGGTTCAGTGTGCAGTTTTTTCTCCTCCCCCCAGCTCTCTGTTCCCATCTGTATATAGAGCTTTGAGGGTATGTGATCACTTTTAAAACGGGGGAAAATATGATTTTTGTGTTTTTTATATTTATGCACAAACGTTTTGCCTTTCTATAATATTTTGCCTATTTCTATATTTTAAACTGAATATGTTGTTTTACAAGGTGAGGGTTTACATATACTGTAAACATATGCTTCACTTTCTCAATCAACATCGACTAATTTGAATCCTTATGCTGCTAATATTAGTAAATAGATAAGAAAGCATATTATACAGTATTTACTTGTTTTAAAACTATTTTTTACATTTCTGCAGTCTGTTTCTAGTTTCCATGCCCAGGCAAATGATGTCATACATCCCAGGAGTCTTCAAGGGAGGAGGGCTTTTCTCAGCTAAGCACACCTTTCTGCTTGTATGCCTGAACTAAGTGCAGATGAATTCCAGGAAGTAATTGCTACACAAATTATCTGCCATTACTCAAGATGGCCACTGCCAGAACTGCTGGGGGAAGGGTTCTAAGTGATTTCTCAACAAATTAAAGCATTGAGACATGGATGGATGGGTGACTTTGCTTTGAATAATAAAAATGAATTAAATAGTTCTTTTGGTTTGTGGTGCTCCGATACAGTGTAGCTGCATTCTAAGAACTTTCATTATTTATCCATTTTTGTTTTTCTGTTGTATTATTGTCTCTTTTCTCTCTTTCTGTAAATGTTTTGTTTGTACTGTTTTTCTTTTCTCCTCATAAAACAATATTTTAATATTTCAATTATCTCTAATGTGCTAAGTCCGAATTTAAAAAGTCCTGGTCTCTTGTAGAGTGCTACTATATTTTAAATCTCTGAAATATCCTTGTCTGCCATGGCATCACATATGACAGACATTTCTTAAGGGTCAGAAATGTTAATGTACTGTAGATATTGTGAATGGGTTGTGGGATGTAAAAACACAACACAGCTCTTTGGATGTATATTGAGTTAACAGTATAGTTAGCCACAGGGGCGGACTGACAATTCATGGGGCCCCCAGGCAATAGGGGATCATGGGGCCCCTGTGTCCTTGCCCAAACTCAAAAAAGCCTAAGAAAAAGGTACCAGGGGCTTCTCATGGGGCCCCCTACTGACCCCGGTCCCTCGGGCAGTGCCCCGAGTTTCCAAATGGTCAGTCCGACCCTGGTTAGCCAACCCCAATGACAATCACTCTCAGTTTGCTGGCACTTAAGCCACATAGTAGATGGATCAAAATTCAGCTGGTTCTGCAGAAACCGACAGAATTTCAATCCATCTATGGGCAGGCTAATTGTACTGAAGTCGATCTATCCAATGACTTCAGCACAACCAACCTGTCGGATTTTTTGGTGTGTTCACTGCTGGCAGCTATAGATGCAAGCAGTTATCATTGTATTCTGCTGGTGTGAAAGGCCCCCCACTGGAAGAATTCCCTCATCACTGACCGTGGTTGAAGGAAAGAAAATTGTAAAACATATGGCCTGTCTTAGATTGTGGTCCTGCTAGCTGGGGATCTCTCTGCCAGATGAGGCTGAGAGCATAGTCATCATGTATTAGTGGCAGCATAGTGAGATCTGACCTCCCATTTGATATACTGGTGAAAGTGGCCTGCATTTGACATTGCTGTTGTCAGAAATGGCACAAATTTTCATTCTGTAATTGATTTTCATATTGTTTTTCTTACTAATACAGCATTAATCAATATTATTTAAAATGTAATGCTTGCTTAAATGACACATCACTTTCATCATAAGAAAAATAACACACAACTGTTATCATTATAATGAATTATTTAGAACAGACTTTAAATAGCATTTTTCCATAGCAATTATGCATTTTACATTCTTTATACACAGGAACTATTACCCCTGTCAAAAATACTCATTAGATATCATTCACTTTGCAATTTAGGAATCTGTGTAACTGTGTATACATTCTAACACAATTTCTGTTACAGATCCAATGAAAGTATTTTTTCAGTTGATAATTACTTGTAGGGAACCACTAGATGTCACCTTTAGCTACATTTTATCATTTAATCAGGTGTCCACAAACTTTTGATCATATAGTATACATATATATATATATATATATATATATATATATATATATATATATACATACACACACACATATATATATATACACACAGTGAAGGAAATAATTATTTGATCCCTTGCTGATTTTGAATGTTTGCCCATTCACAATGAAATGATCAGTCTAAAAATCGAATGGTAAGTGTATTTTAACACTGAGGGACAGGTCTGGTGCGCCATGCAAGATCTCACCTCGTGGAGTGTCAATGATCATGAGAACAGTGAGGAATCATCCCAGAACTACATGTGAGGATCTTGTCAATGATCTCCAGGCAGCTGGGACCACAGTCACCAAGAAAACAATTGGTAACACACTACGCCGACAAGGATTGAAATCCTGCAGTGCCCGCAAGGCCCCTCTGCTCAAGAAAGCACATGTCCAGGTCCATCTGAAGTTTGCCACTGAACATCTGAATGATGCAGAGGACTAGTTGAAAGTGTTGTGGTCAGGTGAGACCAAAATTGAGCTGTTTGGTATCAACTCAACTCGCCGTGTTTGGAGGAGGAGGAATGCTGCCTATGACCCCAAGAACACCATCCCAACTGTCAAACATGGTGGTGGAAACATTCTGCTTTGGGGGTGTTTTTTTGGTAAGGGGACAGGACAACTGCACCGCATCAAAGGGATGATGGACGGGGCAATGTACCGTCAAATCTTCAGTGAGAACCTTCCTCCCTCAGCCAGGGCATTGAAAATGGGTCGTGGATGGGTGTTCCAGCATGACAGCATGACCCAAAACACATGGCCAAGGCAACAAAGGAGTGGCTCAAGAAGAAGCACATTAACCTCCCTGGCGGTATTCCCGAGTGTAGCTCGGGGTAAAGTTTCAGTACCAAAAGCGGTAACCCCGAGCTACACTCGGGCTTACCATGCAGCATTGCTCAGGGATTCACTGCAGCGCTTACCTTGTCCTTTGCTCCCACGATGCGTACCCTGCAGCGTCCCGGCCATCTCCTCCGGCCATGCCGGCATCCGGCTTCCTTGTTCCGGTCCCTGTGATGTTGGGACGTATAGGCGCCGGAACCGGCGACAAATTTCAAATTTAAAAAAAATGAAATTTTTTTTAAAAACGATTATTACATAGTAAAACATTGCTGTTTCAAAGCATTTCACATACATTTTGTCCCTACTGCTTTGTCCTGTGCCCTGCCTGCATTTTGACTGTTCTTTCTGCCTGGAAACTTAGAAAAGTCCATGGCATCCAAAAAGCGTCCCTTTACGTCAAAATAGGTTTTAGACCAGACTAGAGAACAGCGATAGTAAATCAGAACCACTTGCAGAATTGAGTGATAATGATTTGTGGGGGAAATTCGTCATCAGACACTGAAAACGATTTGCGAATTTGCTCAGTGATGTGCGAACTTGGCGCTATATTTCAAATTTCAGTGTTTTTGGTTTGATTATATTATTGAATTAAATTTATTATTATTATGTTATTATTTTTTATGATTATTTATTAAATTATAATTTATGATTTCGTGTTTCAAGTTTTATCCTATCTGGAATGTTTACTAGACTCTTGTTCGGACAGATTTCAGTGAGTTATTCCTAAATTACAGGCCTACAATAAAAAAAACTACATATTTCCATGCAAAAAAATGGTACCGCTTTCAGCACCAAAAATCTGAAATAATCATACTGCCAGGGAGGTTTAGGTCCCGGAGTGGCCTAGCCAGTCTCCAGACCTTAATCCAATTGAAAATCTGTGGAGAGAGCTGAAATTTCGAGTTGCCAAACGTCAGCCACCAACCTTAATGACTTGGAGAGGATCTGCCAAGAGGAGTGGGCCAAAATCCCTCCTGAGATATGTGCAAAACTGGTGGCCAACTACAGGAAACATATAACCTCTGTGATTGACAACAATTGATTTGCCACCAATTACTAAGTCATGTTTTGTGAAGGGGATCAAATACAATTTGTTAGATATGCATTTCTTTGTGAGTGGGCAAACATTCAAAATCAGCAGAGGATCAAATACTTATTTCCTTCACTGTATACACATATACATATACTCCGTTCAAAAGGCTTAGACGCCTTTCAGATGGGGTGGACCTGTCAGCAGATCCGCTTATTCAGCAGGGGATCTCTCCGCTGATTCCCACTGAGCAAGAGGATGACTGGTCTTTTCTCTGCTGCTGCAGATTGGACACAGGCACAGCCTACTGTTTTCTATGGGGCGGTCAGATGGCAATGCACTACCTGTCCATTTACTCTTGACTGTCATCCGATCCAATAGACAGATGGGGAACAGATCCCCATCTGTCTGTTTTTAGCATACAGGATCAGATCAGATGCCGGCAGGTGTCAGCGGACAGGTCTGCTGACACCCACCAGCCAATAGAGGCTATGGATGGTCCGACTGGGTCCACCTGAAAAACTGAAAGGGGCCTAAGGCAGGTGTGAAAAAATGCTGTACATGAAGAATGCTTTCACAAAGAGAATTATTCATAGTATTTTTGATCAATTAACACATGGAAAGTAAACAAACAGGAAAGAAATCCTAATCAATATTTGGTGTGACCACCCATTGCCTTATAAACAGCATCAATTTTTCTAGGTACACTTGGGACACAGATTTTGAAGGAACTCGATAGATAGGTTGTTCCACACATCTTGGGGAACTAACCAGAGATCATCTGTGGATGTAGGCTGCCTCAAATCCATCTGTCTCTTCATGTAATCCCACACGGACTCCATGATGTTGAAATCAAGGCTCTGTGGGGGCCAAACCATCAGTTCCAAGACATTGGCTGCATGTTTGGGGTCATGGACCTGCTGCAGAATAAATTTGGGGTCAAAAGCACGTCTCCCTTTTCTGTTAATTTATTTTCCAGTTTGTTAATTGATAAAAACGAACTGTGTACACCTCTTCTGAAAGAGTTCTTTATTCACAGCATTTTTCACACCTGCTTAAGACTTTTGCATATTTGCATATATATATATATATATATATATATATATACACACACACACATACACACAGTATATATATATATATATAATTATTATTTTTTATTTCTTTTAATTGGGATAGGGGGAACAATAAGTGCATGGGATAATATAAACAGTACCCTGATTATAACTTATATTATACACCCTAACTAAAGAAAAGTACAAAAAAAGAAAAATGGAATGACAAATATATCAAAATTTCACACAATATATCATATACAGGTGTACCTCAGTTTATGAATTAAATGTGTTCTGCGGGATGTTTCATATTGTGAAAAATTCGTAAACCAAAACACGGTTTCCCACAGGAATGCATTGAAAACCAATGAATCCGCTCCGGAGGTCAGAAAAAAGTTAAGAAAAAGTCTTTTATCTGTTCAAAACTCTTTATAAAGTGCACTTTAAAGGCATAAATACTGTACAGGGACATGATTAAAAATACATTTTTAAATGCATTGAAAGCCAATTAATCCTTTCCGGAGGTCAGAAAATCAGAAAAAAGTAAAAAAAAGTCTTATCTGTTCAAAACTCTTTATAAAGTGCACTTTAAAGGCACAGGGCTGGTGCTATAAATGCTTCATATTGGGAAAAAAAAAATTGTAAACCGAGGCATTATTTTCAATAAATTTTCATTCATAAACCAAAAATGACGTTAACCGAGGCGTTCATAAACCGAGGTACACCTGTAAAATACTTATATGTGTTGGTACACACTTCTTCTGGGAGAAAGCTAAAACTTCCCCTGATGAGCCAGCAGAGGGAGGTGCATGTATGAAGAAAGACACTTGTTAAACAAATTATTGATAGGTTGTAGCTAGAGCTGAAAATGCAAGCAGGAAATAGTGTTTTTCCTTTGGGAATAACGATATAAAAAAATAATGGAAAATACACACATACAGTACCTCACCAAGGCTGGTGAGCCATAATATAACAAAGAATTTATAATATAATGGCCAAAACCTAGTTACAAAATGGCGTTGGCCTCTTCATTTAAACCTATAGGTGCTAATACATTTAAAGTGAAAATCCAATATGTTTTGCTATGGCACAGCCTACGGAACCTTTCAGTAGCTGAACCACAAAGAATAATGAATTCAATGGCACACACATTAAGTCCATTTGTGTGTTTGTGATGTTCCCTAAATCTGCTTCTAAGAGCCATAATGGTCCATGTAATGTGTAGTAATCAGGGGCGGACTGACAACTCCTGGGGCCCCCGGTCAATAGGGGATCATGGGGCCCCTGTGTCCTTACCCAAACTCAAAAAGGCCTATGAAAAAGGTACCAGGGGCATCTCATGGGGCCCCCTACTGACCCCGGGCCCTCGGGCAGTGCCCGAGTTTCCAAATGGTCAGTCCGCCCCTGGTAGTAATCCACACAGACAAGAGAGGCAGTAAATGACATATAAAGTAGAGCAACTGTTACATTTCTGTGTTTTATAAACTTTACCATCACTGCCAGCAAAAGTTCTTTGCGCATGTTGGACAAGATACATTACACATTAGAATTGTTTTCTTTTTGCACCCTATTAAATTGCTAAAACAATTCTTTCCTCTATGGCAGATTTTCAGTAATAATTTAAATGTTTACTAGTAAATTACTTTTTGTACATTGTTAAATTTTATCCACACTAGTATACCTACTGCAAATGAGTTTCTTGCATTGGTTATGCCTGGTGCACATACAGTATGCACGTGTGGGCAGTTATTTGAGCTGGCACGAGAGCCCATTCATTTGAATGGACTCCTGCACCCGAGACACGCAGGGAAGAAGTCCCTGCACTACCTGGGAAATTATAGCCAACACAGGAACCTAAGTTCCCAGTACGGGTGCGATTTCCAGTGTGGGCGGTGTGCCATTAGAATAAATGCCACCCGCCTGCGGATCCTGCATTCCCGTGTTCGCTTTGCGATCCAACGTTCGAACCTAATGAATGTTCAAGTGCGAAATATAACTCAATGCTTATATGCAAGTTATGGGACTCGGGTACTGCACTGAGGGACATGAATCAGTGATTCATTATAGGACTTGTCAAAAACTGTTCTTTTGTTTTTTGTCCAATTAAAGGAATTTTTCAAATGTCTGGATCTTTATTTTTTCTAAATTTAACACTTTAGTGAATGGGTAGGGGTACAAGTACCCCTAACTCATTCACAAGGGGGGTCAGCATTAGGGTGCCCCCTTGTTTAAATGGGTACCCCGATGCTAATGAGCCCCCCTGCTAGCAGATCCCCACAATCACTGAGCCAGGGTTGTGGGGAAGAGGCCCTTGTCTCCATCAGTATGCTCGATCGCGCCCCCCCCTTTCCTGTCCTGCCAGGCCTGTGCTCAGATCAAAGGTCTGGTAGGAATTTAGGGGGGACCCCACGCTTTTTTCCCCCATGTTTTGGGGGTGGGATTTCCCTTAAAAGTCCTACCAGTCCCATTAGGCACACACTTTTTCCCCCCATATGTGGGAGGTGGGGTTCCCCTAAAAGTCCTACCAGGCCTAAAGGACCTGGTATGGCTTTTAGGAGGAACCCCACACACTTTGAACATTTTTTTTACTGTGGGGTCAGTCCTAACCTTGCTACCAGACCTAAAGGGCCTGATACGGATTGAGGGGGGGACCCATGCGGTTTCTTTTTTTTTTACTTTATTTTTTGTTTTATTTTTATTTGTTTTTTAAATATTTTTTTAGTTATTTATTTATTTATTTTTAGTGTAAGCAGCCTTATAGTGTATAGTGTGAGCAGCCTTATATTGTGTGAGGAGTGGATTTAGCCATGAGCCATGATTGGCCAAAGTCACTGTGACTTTGGCCAATCATGGCTCTCACAGTGCATTGTGCTGTGATTGGCCAAAGTATTGCATCTGACCTGTGAACAGGTGCATTGCTTTGGCCAATCATGGTTCTCTCAATGCACTGTGAGAGTGCAGTGCATTGTGGGGTGTTTGGCAGGTGAACAGCCCGCCGAACACACATTCGGCGAACACATGAACAACCGATGTTCAAGTCGAACTTACGTTTGACTCAAACATCGAGTCCAACACTAGCCGATATGAATCATTTGCTGGAGTGTCGGTACTACTGCAAATGCTCCAATACTAAAAAAACCCAACACCTTCAGGCTCACTTCTTTCAGCTTTCAGTGCGATTCCCCTGCTGACAGCTGAAATATAAACAAAAGAATGCTGGCAATTATCAGTTAACAACCAATAAGTCATTCAGCTGTCAGTCGGTTTCCCCAGCAATTGGAGCTGTCAAAACAAAGCAGTCTGGCAATGTTTATCAAAAACATTGCTCAGCCACTAAAACCAATAAAAAGAAACATTGTTTCATTTTGTATCTTTCTGTTTATTCATCTACAGATCAAATGGATGAACTTTGATCTGCAGATGAAGTCAGTTAAAAGCAACCTGTCAAGTAAAAAAAAAAGGTGTGTTTTTGTTTTTTTAAATAAATGTTCCTCTCTTTAACCCCTTATTAACTCTTAATGTACTCTAATCAGCCCTAATTAACCCCTTATTTTCCTTCTCCATTTAATTATTATTTTCCTGCTGATTTTTTTTTGTTCATTTCTATTTTATAAACTAATAATAATTAAAACCTTTTTTTGTTTTTGTTTGCTTTGTTTGTTAATATTTGTACACTTTTAACATATATTTACATGTTTCACATTGAAAAAACACAGAATTGAAACAAATATGTTTATTTCATTTGTAAATAACTTTGAAAGGCTTTGTACAAGAATCATAATTTTAGTGTCATTCTAAATAGGACAAATTACAGAATGAAATGTGCACTTTTTATGTGCAGTAACACTATATATTTTTAAACTAGCACTGCTCAAAAAAAAGTGTTTTTTTTTAGTTTTGTTATATTTAATTGTTTAAGGTATTGTGAGAAAAATATAATTGTTCCAAGACAATATTCACAAAAAGAAAGCTTTGTTTGTCCTTAAAAAAAACAATATATGTATTACGTTGTTATGAGTAATGACTGATAATGACGAAGTTATTGCTGAATAAACAGGTCCATAGCAGAAATGTAAACATTGCTCTGGTCCATAAGGGGTGAACAGGCGTGAGAGCCGATGTGGTTAAGGAGCAGGGCCTCCGCATCCTTAGCAACAGATCACTCATTCAGCTCTAAGCCGGTTCCCGGCTTCTGACAGCTGAAATGTAAACAAAACAATTGCAATAGGTATCAGTAACAAAAATAAGGGTACTCGTACTCTTTGCTAAAAAAAAATGGTATTGGTGCATCTCTATTTTTTAATGTTATTAAGCTTTATAAATATAATATAAAATTGTAATTGGATTCTTGTTCATATTACCCTGTGCATTTATTTCTATCAATTTAGCATGTATAGCAGGAAAGCCTGCCCAAGGGGAAGAGCCCTGAAATGTGCTGCCACTGCGGCATAGCAAGCATTTTTCTTTAACCACTTGCCTACCGGGCACTTATACCCCCTTATTTACCAGGCCAGTTTTCAGATTTCAGCGCTGTCGCACTTTGATTGACAATTGCGCGGTCATGCAAGATTGTACCCATATGACATTTTTATCATTTTTTTCTCACAAATAGAGCTTTCTTTTGGTGGTATTTAATCGCTGCTGGGTACTTTACTTTTTGTGCTATAAGCAAAAAAAATGCCAACAAATTTGAAAAAAAAAAGTTTCTTTGTTTCTATTATAAAATTTTTCAAACAGGTAATTTTTCTCCTTCACTGATGTGCGTTGATGAGGCAGCACTGATGGGCACTGATAGGCGGCACTGATGGGTACTGATAGGCAGCACTGAAGGGCACTGATAGGCAGTACTAATGAGCTGGCACGGATAGGTGGCACTGATAGGCAGCACTAATGAGGTGTCACGGATAGGTGGCACTGATAGGTGACACTTATAATGGGTACTGATAGACAGCACTGATAGGTGGTACTGACTGACATCACTGCTGGGCACTGACTGGCACAACCGCTGGGCACTGACTGGTGGCACTGACTGGCAGCACTGCTGGGCTGCACTGATGGGCACTGGTGGGTGGCACTGATGGGCACAGGTAGGTGGCACTTATGGGCACAGGTGGTGACACTGCTGGGTGGAACAGGTGGGCGCACTGCTGGGCACAGGTGGGCGGAAGTTGTGTGTGGCACTGCTGGGCACCGATCATCAGGGCACTGATGATCAGTGACCCTGATGATCGGTGCCGATCCCCGCTCTGACAACTGCCGGTTTTCGGCAGTACTTTCCTCACGATCTGACAGCGTGAGGAAAGTGCAGCCGAGAACCGGCATTTGCATTTCCCGGTGATCAGCGTGTCATTGGACACGGCTGATCACGTGGTAAAAGGCCGCTGTGATTGGCTTTTTACCACGTCCATAGGACACAGCGATCACGGAGATCGCCGGGTGCGCGCCCCCGGGGGCGCACAGGAGAGCGCGTTCTGGGAGGATGTCATATGACGTCCACCCAGAACTGGCCGGCTGCAGTGCAGCCGTCATTCAGCTATCTGCGGTCGGCAAGTAGTTAATGGTATGAGGACTTATGTTTAGAGACGTGCACAACGAAAAAAATAGTTTCATTACATTTCAGTTTTATTCATTAAGTAAATCATTTCATTTTAGTCATCTTCGATATTTTAGAATTATTTATTTTCAGAACGGTTTCTTATTTCGGGAGAATAGATATTTGTTATTCTGAAATGATTTGTCTTTTCGGAAGTTCTGTTATTCCTATTTCAAAAGATTGGCTATATTCGTTGTTAATGTTAATTCGTTATTTCTGTAGATTACTTTTATGTACTTTGAGTCTTCCCTGCTAGTCAAACTCACAAGGGAAACCAGACTGAGCTGATTGGATGATATTGACTGGAGTCATGTGCATCCCAAAGTATGAAACAAACAAAATTCATTTTGGATTCATTCGTTATGTTAGGATTCAGAGATTCTGATGGATCCACTTCAACCCAAACACAATAAGTAGGAATCATCTTATTTCACTTATACACCTTCTTATATTTATTGCAATATGCTTCCATTTCATATGCAATGCAGTTTTTGTAATAATGAAAAATGTTAATGAAAAAAAGTCAGCTGATTATCCAAGAGTCAAAGACTACTGCGCCGTTCTCATCCTGAATAAAACAAATGAATCCAAATGAATGCATATTAATTTGTTGTTATTAAGTTGAATGAATTTCCCCATTCCCAACTGACTTTGTTGGGACACGCAGATACAAATTAAATGAACAAGTCTCTCAAGTTCAGGCCCGATACAAAAAGAATCTTATTAGAGTAGTCACACTATGCTCATTAGAAAAAAAACAAATGGATCAGGATCAATTCGGATCATTCGTTATGTCGTTACGTTAATTTGGATGCTTCAAACATTAGCAAAATGCACAAACTATCGCATCATGTCAACCAAAGAAAATGGATATGAATGAATTTTTAGTTTTCATTATAATTTATTATGGATTCATTGAAATGTGTTACTATTGTGATTAAGAGATTCGGATACATCACACAAATTTGTTTTGAATTTTGATCTGTAACAGAACAAATCATGCATGTCTTCTGATGTTGACGTTGCCCATGTCATCCTCAGAAATCTATTGATAGTATGCTTCCCCTGAGCTTTACCTGATTTACAGGTGAAACTCAAAAAATTTAAATATCGTGCAAAAGTACATTTATTTCAGTAATGCAACTTAAAAGGTGAAATATATGAGATAGACTTATTACATTCAAAGCAAGATAGTTCAAGCCGTGATTTGTCATAATTGTGATGATTATGGCTTACAGCTCATGAAAATCCCAAATCCACAATCTCAGAAAATTAGAATATTCCATGCAATCAATAAAACAAGGATTGTACATAGAACAATATCGGACCTCTGAAAAGTAGAAGCATGCATAAGTACTCAGTACTTGGTTTGGGCCCCTTTTGCAGCAATTACTGCCTCAATGCGGCGTGGCATGGAAGCTATCAGCCTGTGGCACTGCTGAGAGTGTTATGGAAGACCAGGATGCTTCAATAGCAGCCTTCAGCTCTTCTGCATTGTTCGGTCTCATGTCTCTCATCTTTCTCTTGGCAATGCCCCATAGATTTTCTATGGGGTTCAGGTAAGGCAAGATTGCTGGCCAATCAAGCACAGTAATCCCACAGTCATTGAACCAGGTTTTGGTGCTTTTGGGCAGTGCGGGCAGGTGCCAAGTCCTGCTAGAAAATGAAGTCAGCATCCCCATAAAGCTCGTCTGCGGAAGGAAGCATGAAGTGCTCCAAAATCTCCTGGTAGACGGCTGCGTTGACCCTGGACTTAATGAAGCACAGTGGACCAACACCAGTAGATGACATGGCTCCCCAAATCAACACAGACTGTGGAAACTTCACACTGGACTTCAAGCATCTTGCAGTGTGGGCCTCTCCATTCTTCCTCCATACTCTGGGTCCTCGGTTTCCAAATGAGATGCAAAAGTTGCTCTCATGAGAAAAGAAGACTTTGGACCACTGAGGCACAGACCAGGTCTGTTTTTCTTTAGCCCAGGTAAGACGCTTCTGACATTGTTTGTTGTTCAGGAGTGGCTTGACAAGAGGAATACGACATTTGAAGCCCATGTCCAGGATCCGTCTGTGTGTGGTGGCTCTTGATGCACTGACTCCAGCCTCAGTCCACTCCTTGTGAAAGTCCCCAACACTTTTGAATGACCTTTTCTGACAATCCTCTCCAGGCTGCGGTCATCCCTGCTGCTTGTGCACCTTTTTCTTCCACACTTTTCCCTTCCACATAACTTTCTATTAATGTGCTTTGATACAGCACTTTCTGAACATCCAGCTTCTTTTGCAATTACCTTTTGAGGCTTTCCCTCCTTATGGAGGGTGTCAATGATGGTTTTCTGCACAACTGTCGGGTCAGCAGTCTTTCCCATGATTGTGATTCCTACTGAACCAGTCTGAGAGACCATTTAAAGGCTCAGGAACCCTTTGCAGGTGTTATGGCTTAATTAGCTGATTAGAGTGGGACACTTTGAGCCGAGAATATTGCACCTTTTCACAATATTCTAATTTTCTGAGATTGTGCATTTGGGGTTTTCATGAGCTGTAAGCCATAATCATCACAATTATGACAAATCACAGCTTGAACTATCTTGCTTTGCATGTAATGAGTCTATCTCATATATTAGTTTCACCTTTTAAGTTGCATTTCTGAAATAAATGAACTTTTGCACGATATTCTAATTTTTCGAGTTTCACCTGTATATGTCTGCCGTTGATTTGTGTTCTCATTTCAATTTTCTACCTATGGGATAGATTTATTAAAACTGGTGCATTCAGAATCTGGTGCAGCTGTGCATGGTAGCCAATCAGCTTCTAACTTCAACTTCTTCAATTAAAGGATAAGTTCACCTTTAGGAACATATTACATGTTCCACCTGTTTTTAGGGTGAAACATGTAACATCTTCCCACTGCTGCAGCCGCCACCACCTGCTGTCCTCTTCCCCTGTGACAGCAGTACAGGGAGGAGTTCCCTGTAATAGCTGTCACTTTTTTAATACAACGTGGTTGTGTTTTCATTCACTGAGTTCTGTGAATGAATGAACTACAAGTCCCGACAACCTTTGTGGCTGTCAGCTTGTAGTTCTTAACCACATCCAGATATACTGCTAAAGGGCGGCAGGGGTGCGCAAAATCACGTATATGTTTGTGATTTTGTGTTTCCGGGTAGGGGTCGTGCACCTACCCACGCTGCCATTCGCAGGCGTGGCTGTCAATCACCGGGTCCCGGGCAGTGATTACTTGCTGGCGCCCAGTGATTACAGAGGATCTCTGATGAGGAGGAGGGCTGCTTTGTTTACTAACAGTCCAACTCCCTGCTGGCTCGGGCACACTGCTCTGGATGGCTGTGCACAGCACAGCCATCCAAAGCAGTGTGCTTACAGTGAAGCACCAACACACTGCCCTCCAGTAAAACACTCCCAGCACACAGTTAACCCTTTAATCACCCCTCACATTGTCCCCTTCCTGGCCAATGCCATTAGTACAGTGTCAGTGTTTTTTTTTAGCACTGATCACTGTATTGGTGGCACTGTAGATGTCAGTGACACCAAGGCAGTTCCCCCCAGTGTCAGAATGTCCATCGCAGTCCCACAGTCCCACTATAAGTTGCTGATCGCTGCCATTACTAGTAAAAGAAAAACAATTCCAGTATATATACCGCCATTTCTAAACACTATAACTTTCATGTAAACTAATTAATTTACACGTATTGGGATTTTTTTTAGTAAAGACATGTTTCAGAACACATTTTGACCTAAATTTATGATGAAATTTGATTGCTTTTTTCTCAAAATTGTCCGCCTTTTTTTTTTTATAGCGTAAAAAAATTAAAAATGCACAAGCGATCAAATACCACAGAAAGAAAGCTCAATTCATGGAAAAAAAGCATGCAAATTTAATTTTGGTGCAGCGTTGTCAGTTAAAGTAAAGCAGTGCCGTAATGCAAAAATGGCCTGGTTAAGAAGGGCGGTAAATCCTCAGGAGGGTAAGTTATTAACAAACTACCACAGTACTGTTGAGCTCTGTTGTAGTTCATTGATTCTTCCTATCAGAGTGTATCTGCTTGCCCATACGAGGTATGAGAACACAGATACCCTGATAGGTTTGCAGGAGTCCAGCATGGCACCAGCGATCTGCTGATCGCTGGTGCAATGCTTTCCAGGCTCAAAAAATTAAAATAAATTATTAAATGCACATTTTTTTACCTGCAAAAATTGGACATTTATATACATTTTTTTTAAAGTTAACTTATCCTTTAAACTTTGGCAATAAAACCTGAATGCTGATTGGTTTCTATGCAGAGCTGCACCAGATTTTGAACTCTCCAGTTTCAATAAATAACCCCCTATGTGTCTGCCAGTGTGAATTGACTGAGTTGTATCATTTGACACAGGCCAATCAAAAAGACCAAAGACCTAGAACATGAAGTACGCTTGGTATATGTTGACGATAAGAGCACAGACATCAGACCATTGGTGGGGAGGTGAGTGTTTGTAACTTTTTTCTCCCCTGCTTTAGCTGTAGT